ATTATGGGGATGTGAAAGTCGAGAATTTCTTTTTTAGCACAACATCGAATTCCTTTGCAACATGCATGAAATTGACCGCGCTTGCCTGACCTCCGAAATCTTCCCTAAGTATGGTAAGGGCGTGATTAAACGGGGCAATTTTCTCTGCAACTTGTCTTGCACCAAACAGCATCGTGTAATCGCGTCCTTACCATACTTAGGGAAGATTCAAAGTGATAATAACGGAGCGGCGGCATGAAAAGAAATAGCTCCCAAGTGTGGCAAGCATTTTTCCTTTAAGTGGTCGCAATGAAAGACTACCATTAGATCTAAGATYATACGAAGAATTTGGCTAAACACTAATTAAAGTTCTAAGATATGATTAACATCTTTATCAGACCCTCAAGGATTGTTCCAATACTAGTCTTTAGTAACAAAGTGAAATAGACTAGAAATAAAAACGTGTTGTGAGTCGTAAAGAGGAAAATTATGACCAAAGCTAGCTGTAAAACTCGTGGCAGCCATACTCGGCGCAAGAATCATGATTTAGAGGCTATGTCTATATTATTTAATTGAACCAGTTCGATTTATTTTCTGGCGAAATCAATACCTATACTCAATACAGGAAATCAAAATAGCAGCAGTATCAATGACGTTGTATTGAAAGTCACATTTATTTGTAAAGTAAAAAGTGCGTGCCAGACCACCTAGGAAAAGGCCGCTGGCGGGACATTCCGTCAATCACGTTACAGCACGTAATCTACGTACCTTAATTCTAACTGATTTCATGAATAAACGTTTGTCTATTCAACTAGGATTGTATAAGGCAGACCAATCATGGAATATGCAATTAAGAGGTTGATATTTTCATTACATATGAAATAAATTACACTCATAGCCAGRCCGGTCAGGCCATTCATTGCACCAATCCACAGGCAGTCAGGTGCTCCGTGGGTCACCTCGCACGGAAATGGTCCCATGGRAAAGGTCAGCGTTCAGGACGGAGCTGATGCCTTTTTCAGACAAAAACAGTTTTGTTTGTCATATTTTTCAACTTGGAATCTTAATAACAATAATATCTCTCGCTCGGCGTGGGTCTTACTGTTTTCGTTGATGGTTTAAGGTTTTATTCAACACTAGTGGAACAAAGAACCAGTATGTGGAAGATAAAGTATGTTTTAGGGATCGTCATTTGCTTCATATTTGTGGTGAGTTACTGCGTATCATTTATTGGCATAATGTAACGACTGTTATTTATAACTACTACATTTCACTTCGTTATATTTTATTTCAATAATTGAAAACTTCCTAGCAGTTTCGACCACCTTTGCAAAGAATACATTTAACTAATATTTTTTCTATTCTAATGGATAGTTGCGATATATGGGAATACCCGTTCTGTCTCATATCTATCAAAGACCTAGAAAGATGTCATCAAGTGATTAAGCGTCTTTCAAGCATTTCATAGCGTTTTCTTTGGTACTTATGACAAAAATGCTATWTATCTACATTTCAAAAAGTGTATCCCTAGTACTTCTGACGCTTTCGCATGACGATCACATATTAAAATAATACGTATAATATTTTTTACGGAAAATACGTTTTAAAGAAAATATTACTTGACGGTTTCGGCTATTTGATAACCTTCTTGAGACTTTTATCATCTGTCCCATAACTAAGGCCTAGAAATATGTCATTGACTTATTTTAAGAGCTACTTCCAGACATTCCAGTTTATTATTACAAGTTTAAATCTCATTTATCGATTTCTCTTCTCTATATGTACTTATAAGATATGTAGTTCTATATTTCGAACAGTGTATTCCTCAATTTATACTTTTGAGGCTTTCGCGTTAAAAAAATACCATACCTAATTTTGACCGATTTTAATTCAGTATGTCTTTATTAGTAGATTTTAACTTGTGTATCATATAGCCTTTATTATTGATTTATTTTGATAGTAATTTATGTCATTTGAGGAAAAAAAATGCACTTGTATTAGTTAATATTATTTTTCTATTGTTTTCGAAAAGCAATATCCAGGGAAGTTGAATAAAGTTATCGTATATTCCTACCACAACGTTATTTTCCCTTATTCTCCATGTGTGAAGAAAATGTGCAAATTGTTTAGAATGATTTAAACGCGATGCACAAAAACAGTATATTTTGCATTCAAGAATTTGTATCGACTCTAAACAGAATCGTAAAAAAACTTGCAATTGAACTTTATTCTTTAAACAYTGAAACAATATCTTAGAATAGAAATTGAGGATATGGTTGGCGTCATCATATCGATGTGCTGTTGTTTTCCCCCTAAATTGTGCTTCCTTTTGGATCTCGCTGATGCCGGACATTGCCTCATGCTGATCTCCTTTTGGGAAGGCACATCAGATCAAAAATCAGTCGAATCCTGTAAATCGTTTATTCTGTTGTTTCTGAATTAAAAACAAAACAAAAAAACAAAAACAAAAACAAAAATAAAAACAAAAATAAACAAAACAAAAATAAAAACAAAAACAAAAATACAAACAAACAAACAAAACAAAAAAAAAAGAAAAAAGAAGAAAAACAGAGATCTAACTTAAGATGAAATCTAGGGTGTCAGAATTGACGATCCAAACATTGCCGAACTAGCTCTTCATAGGTTCTTGGCTTGAATCGCAAATAAAATGTGGCTTTATCTTTAGTAGTTATAACTGACTTCATCGTCGCTTATCTTGTAATATTTTTTTCTTGTTATTTTAACAGGTATCAGTTAGTGGAAAAGGAATGTTTGCTGTTATTCTTAAAAAAATGACAAATAGCGAAGAAACAGGCTGGGATAATTCTTGTTGTGATACGCTTTGTAACGACTGCGATACTTATTTTAAAGTATGTCTAACAACATTCCCACGCCCTACCTCGATATCTAACTGTATGTCTGGTGTGCAGACCAGTGGATATCTGGGGGGAAACACATTTACTATGAATTACAAAGTGGAAAGACCTTTCAACATAAAAATAGTAAGTGCAAATGCTAATATTTAATATCAACCCTCCGAGACGACTACAGAAATAACCGCATATGCATGCCAGCCCTACATCATTGCTTTTAGAAATGCTGATTTTTCTCCTTTTTTATAGCAAGATTTTGGAGTATTCATAGAAGCATGGGATGATGACTCCACGAATGATGACCTTATTGACAAACACTCTGCGACTATCAGCGCTATCCCGACCTACAATGGTACAGTTATAACATCCAATACCGTTAGCCTGACAGGTAGAAGACGTACGAGTAAGACAACATTAGAAATTCAATACCAGTTATACTGTGATCGATTTTACTATGGTCCTACATGTGCTACTTATTGTAAATACAGTGACTATATTAATGGCCACTACTGGTGCAGTGATAACGGTACTAAGGTGTGCTTGGAAAACTGGTATGGGAAAAACTGCACGGACTATTGCTTTCCTCGTGACGATGAACTGGGACACTACTATTGTAATAGTAATGGAACTAAACTTTGTTATCAAAACTGGTATGGAAACAACTGCACGTTATGGTGTTTCCCGAGGAATAGTTCGTCTGATGGGCATTATTACTGCCTTAGCAATGGTAGCATCAAGTGTGACTCGGGATGGTATGGAAAAAATTGCACAACATACTGCTGGCCAAAGAATAATCAATATAGCAATTATAGATGTGACAACAATGGAACAAAGATCTGCGCTGCTTTCTGGTATGGTACAATGTGCAACGTGCTTTGTAAGCCTGATGGTTTTGGGCATTATCGCTGTGACAATGCTACGGGTTCAAAGGTGTGCCACAAGGATTGGTATGGGGCCTCTTGTACATCCCACTGTGTTCCTA